CCCAAGCTATCGATTAAATCTAGTTAGAACTTAATCGGTTCGACCGTTATTGAGATCTCAAAATCTCGGGTGCTCGCAACGCGACGGCTCGCGTTAAGAGACCCGGCATGGCTTGTTTGAACACTTGACACCAAGCCACTACCGTGTCTCCTGATGTATCGTACAAAAAGCAAGAAAAATTGTAGGACACTATAAACATTCCGCGCTGGTCACGTAAGAGCTACATAAGCTCAAATTAAACTTAATTTTCTGGAAGAAGCATTGATTCAAAGTTGTTCCACAAGATGGAATTTAACATATTATATGTGCAAACGGCTATATAAAAATAGAACTCCTATTTTGGCAGTACTTAATAATACTTCCGTGACAAAACCAGTGCAAGCACGAAATTTAGAAATGACTGCAAGCGAATGGTCAATTATAAATGAATGAGTATCACTTTTGAAGCCTTTGCAATGTGCAACTAACATATTTTGCTCCTCATCCGAAGTTACGATATCTATGGTTCGCCCGTAATACGCGGCATCATAGACAATCATTTGACAGAAGATATTTTGGGTGGAAATCTCATTTGTACATTGAAGTGTATACTTCATTAATCAATAAGAAATAAGAGGTACGAAGTTCCATTATATATATATATGTATGTACATTTCATGTTATTTGCAACGTTTTGCAAAATAAAGTATTGTTTAAATGCGATGTGGTCATATTAATTGGCATATTGACTTGTTGATAGAAAAGTGATGCAAGTAAATATTTAGCATTTTTGAGACTCTATAGGATCGATTTTCTTTCATTATTTGAAAATTACTTATTTTTTACTTGCATCACTTTTCTATCAATATAGCGATATTGTCGTAATATATAAATTTTTTGATAACAAATGGTTTCTTTGTAATTTTCTTTGTAATTTTCCTTTTTGTATTTCTATTTTTACTTTTTTGCAGAATAATTAAATTTCTATTGACTTTATTTTACTTGGTAAATTTTAATTTAAGTTTTAATGAAATAGAGTTAATAGAGTAAAGGTTATATTAAATATTT